CAACAGCATGCTATCCACTATGATATCCAGTTCATTCCGCACCTGACAAATACAGTGACAGCACATCGTGTTCAAGTAGTTTGTATCTCAAAATGTTGGTATTATGCTAGTAAGTACGCAAATCTTTTCAAGCAGTGATTTTTGCTTATATACATAGCTTTTTGTCATATTATTTTGTTATATATAAAAAATAATTTAATTAATAGAAATTTTTTATTTCAAATATGTATTGTACATATTTCTGCCAGTTATACATTATATCGATGAGTTATAATTCACAGTACATTATATACCTTATTATAATATATACAAGGTATTTTACCAAAGAAAAAGCACTGAAATATATCGAAAAACTGAACCTGGTAGGCAAAAATGTTTCAGACAAAAGTTATATGGCTTGAGGGAGGACGGAAGATGGTATCATTAGTTTGATCTTGGGTGATGTTGAGGTGAGGGCAAGGGCATTTTGAATTTTTTAAACGGAACATCCCATTTTTCATTGCATATTCTTGTAGCTTACCACAAGAGCTTTTCAAAACACTATAATAAAATATTTTTTCGTTAAGTACTTTTCAAAATATAGTGCTTGAAAGTTACAGTACCACTGGCATTAATATCATCTAAGGTGTCTAACTGATGGTTAAAACTTCTTAAATGTTATTCAGAATTATGATTTAGATGATTTGGATGACATTTGCGAGATTAAGGTCATTGGATCTTGTTCCTCCTATTTTCATTTTGCACTAAAAATCTTAAAAATGAAAATAAGAGAAGCAATCTCTAATGACCTTGACATGACAAATGTTATCCAGATCATGATCCTAAACAACATTTAAGAAGTTTTAGCTTTTTTTGGTCAAACACCTTAAATAATACTAACACTGATGATATTGTAATCTTCAAATATTGACTCGAAAAGTACTTAATAAAAAAAATTTTATTACAGTGTTTTGGAAAACTGTAGAGGTAAGTTACGAAAATATACAATGAAATATGAGTTCCATTTAAAAAATTCAAAGTGCCCTGAATTCACCCCGACCTTAACAATGCCAAGGTCGAAATAATGTTGCCATCTTATGTCCCCCCTCAAACCACGTACAACTTTCGTCTAAAATATTTTTGCCTATTAAGTTCAATTTTCGATATATTTTGGTGTTTTGTCTTAGGTGAAATATGATATACGTAGGAAAATATTCGATGAGAAAACTTTCTTGATTGACAAAGACAGTCGTTATCGCGTCTGGAGAATCGACAATACCAGATACGAGTAGAACAACATTTTACCATCGCTGAGCAGTATGTGGACATTCTAGATGGAATCATGCTGCCCAGAGTACGAAGATGCTATAACGAACAAGATCACCTCAGGATTGTCGTCGTGGAAGATAACAATCCAAACCATACCGCTAGGATTACCAGAGTTCAATATGAGGACCATTCAGACATCATACAGTTAAATTTTGGCCTCCAAGATCTCTAGACCTCATTGGAAATCTTTGAGCAACGAGCGTGCATCTACACTGTAAAAAAACTTGGTAAATTTACACATATAATAGATGTAAAAATTACATGATTAGTCCTGTAAAAAATCCTCCTGTATAAAAATCCTGTATAAAAAAAATCATGCAATTTTTTTTACAGAAATTATGTAATTCCATAAAAATTATGTAAATTTGAAAGTAAAAGTATAGATTTCGCTCGTATTAAGCAAAAGCAAGATAAAGAAATCAAGTCAATGATGGAGCCAATTAAGATGTACAAGTACAATTAAAATATTTCTTATGTAAAATCCAAAGAAAAGTACATTTCTTTATATGTAAATTTGCTTTTATTGTGTAAATGTATCTTATTTTATATAAAAAATTACGTAAATAGCAGGATATTTTGAATATTTTCTGTAATTATCCAAATTTTAGTAATATTACGTAATATAACAGTAATTTTTTGCGTATTGCTGTTAAATGTATAATGTTAAATGTATAATAATATATAATAGTGCGAAATGTATTGTCATATTATCGTTCCTATACACATTGTAATTGTACTTCCACAATCTGTTTAGTTACAAACCAAGAAATTATTTTTATTTGCATATTACAAATTTACAAACACATAGACATTTACAACTATTATAGTGGGTCTCAAAATTACCCACTATAATAGTTGTAATTTTACACAAAATTTTTTACAGTGTAGCTTGGGCTGAACTAGCATCCTGTTTATTGCCAGGCAATAGTTAATTCGATGCACTGCAAACTACTAACTGTATTAGCCACCGATGGACACGCTATAAACTTAGAGGTAATGCCAACATATTGCTAAAAGAAATTATACAGAATTATATTATATGTAGAGAGTGAACTGAATATTTACGTAAATAGTATGTACGATATTTTTCAACGAGACCTCTGTTTCATGCTGTATCATCATAAATTTTCATAATTTTCGTTCTTTCCACAGGCTCGGCACGGCATTCTTGGTATGCAAGGAAATGGACGTCCCTCGGTTTCGACGGGTGCTGTGTATTATATAAATGTATTATTATGCATTATCATTATGTATACATTATTTATTTATGTTGTAATAGTTTAGGTATTTTAGCTTTAAAGTTTAGGTTTAATAGCACGTTTCATATATGTTGTATATGCTAAAATATAAAAAAATATTGGATAAAAAATAAAATAAACATTTTTCATGCGCGAATATTTATAAACATGGTAATTATTTAAAATAACCCATCTCCACCTAAAATCTTAATAAAAATATACTCATTCGACGCGTTTTCACTCAAAATGAAAGAATCTGACAGAAAAACTTACTGAATTCGATCACTCGCACTACACTGAATCAGTGCGTGTCAAAAGCTGCTTTACACAAAATGTCTCAATGTAGTGATACAATATAATCAACTTTGACAATGAAATGATACATATATATTTTGTTAAAGGTAAATGTTAAGAAGACCACCATTCCACCTCAAATTTTGATAAAAATATACTCAATCGATGCGTTTTTACACGAAACGAAAGAATCTGGCAGAAAAAAATCGCTCTACCTCGCGAACCAAGATATTAAACGTCAAAGTTGAGAACCATTTAGATTAGGAAATCTGTCACAGCCACGAAATAGTGCGATACAAACATGCGCTGCGGTCGCATTTTCATGCTCTACGTCCACATGCGGATGCGTTTTAGATACTAAAGCCCAAGACACAATGCGAGGGAATAGCGATAGCGGAATAACACGATTTCAATGGGCTCATTCAGCGGACTCAACAGTTGAGTGAGCGCTCGCTGTTATTGGTGTATTCTTTTAGATCATCCAATCATAATTTTAGATCTAGAAGAATACGTCAATAGCAGCGAACGCTCACTCAACTGTTGAGTCCGCTGAATGCAGCCAATCTATCAGAAACTGTCTATTCCGATATATCCGATTTCTGATAGGTTGAAATCATGTTATTCCTATCGCTATTCCCTCGCTCGCGTCTTGGGCTTTATTGGCTGCGGGCCACTTGACGCTACAAACGCTTCGAAGCGTTTGAGGGACCAATCAGAACAAAAAATTTTACGAATTGACCAATCGAAGAATGCTTCGAAGCGTTTGCAGCGTCAAGTGGACCGTAGCCTGTCTCTTATTGGAAAGCTCCCTGTGTCACACCGTGTCATTTGTGTCGCTTGTTGGAATTAAGGCACCCAGTGTTTTTTATTTAGTATTTACATGGAATGTAGAATCGTGTAGGAAAAGAATTGTGCTGAGGAAATCATGATATAAGTAAATCGAAAATCGGAAAATCTGCACACCTTCATATAAGCCATAAATTCACTCAATTTATGGCTTATATGAAGGTGTGCAGATTTTCCGACACCACCAATTTTAGTTTTTGTTTTTCGTCCTTTTTATCGTGTTCTTAAGAGAAAAATTTCATTTTTTATTGAATATAAAGTATTCTCCATATAACTTTTATACAAATTTTATAAATAATGGATAAGTAAAACAGATATTTTTTAAATCAAATTTTATTTTATTTTCTACACATGCATTTCGAGGGAATATAAAGAGGCGATCCAAAGAATAATGTTGCTGTTCAGTTATGAGCATACTGTGGCTGTGTTCCGTTTCACGCACGATGCGCATGATGCATCTTTTATCCTTGTTATTCACCGAATGTTAAACAAGGATAAATGATGCATCATGCGCATCGTGCGTAAAACGGAACGCAGCCCTTATCTACTTGCATCATGACATAGGTGAGTTTTTTAATTCATCGACTGATCGATCGCATTATGTGCAAATGCAGCTTTTTACGGAAAAAACTTACATTTGCCCACAATGCGATTGATCAATCGATGAATTAAAAAACTCGCCTTATTTTTTTGACAATTCATTAAATGCGAATAATTAGTTTGATGATATAAGCTCTGCTAAACAAATATCTAAAATCAATCCTGACAAAAGATTAAATAGCTGTTCTCACTTTTAATATTGCTTGTATATTTCCATATAACAATATTTAAAGAAAATTAACATTGATGATTTATATATCAATTCATTTAATATAGAATAATCCAAGTGACATGTGGACAAGGACACGTCACTAGACTTTAAAAAGATCTCTTTCAATTTTGTCCCAGTTATTAAAAGTTGTACGATCCATTGGGGACAATACTATCGATATATATCCTTTATCATAATTCTTTCCAACGGATACCTTGGAAAGTCGATAATAAATGAATTAAAACTGAAAAGGAAACCCAATATTGAAGGTAACATTTACAAAGTGGGAATAGATGTGCAGTACATTTGGATACTTACCCTTTTTAGGAATTCCTCTGCGCAAATACGTGCTCTAGCATTAACTGATAATTTCATTTCACTTATTTCTCTATCAATTTCTTCCATGAAATGAATAACAAAATCTACTATCTTGTGTTTGTACATTTGTTCTACATGAATATTAGTAATTAAAAAACTAATATCGTAACCCTAAAAATAAATGATACAATATTATGAATCATTAAAGCTTAAAAGCTTACAAATAGATTTATGGGTATTCACTTCTACTGGTTTTCTTCTGAGAATCATAAAATGTTCAGCCCTCATTGTCATGAATCTTGTAAAATTATGACAAAGAATCTTTTCTAGATCATCAGCTTGTTTCACGGCAATACTTATTCTCATACTATTTATACTGGATTCGATCAAGACTTTCTCTTTGTCGTTTCTACTTATCAAGATGGGTGTTAAAAGCAGTTCTTTGCTTGCCCTTACTTCTACTTCGGGCTTGTTATGTTTTTCTACAATTTGAGAGGAGAAATTCTCCAGGCACATAGCGGCAGTAAGTGTACGCCTGACCGCTGTCAAATAGGGCTTTAATGTACCCGACTGTAAAAAATAAATTAAATAAATATCATGAAATATCAAATATTACAATGAGTCATATAACAGTTTCACAATGAGTCGATAGTTTTAGAAGTTGGCTGTTGTTGGCCAACTCTACTGATTTACTGACTACCCTTCAGACTCACCGACAACAAACTACTGGACGCATTGTAGAACCAATAGCCTAGTTTACATCGTGCACTTGATACGGATACTAATTAGTATCTGTCTATTGAATTATCTTAATTTCAGAGATACACGTAACCATATATATGATATGAATATTTAATTAATCATTTTGATGCATATTGTACCAATTTAGTACATCATTCTTAAAATATGTTTGCTGAAATTAAGACAATTCAATAGAAAGTTACTGATTTTATATATATATATATATATAAATCCATAAATATATATATATATATATAGAAGTTTATATGGGATGACATTGGCTAAAAAGGCCAAAACATTTTTACTTGAAATTAGAAATCTACACAAATCGTTATCAGAGCGGATACTTATCTTAGTACATTTTCCATAATCAATACAGTTAAAAGAGCGTTATACTTAGCGTTACAAGTCAAACAAGTTCGATGTTACGGAATAATGTGACTTACCATACTTGCGAAAATTAATTTACAGGTTACAATATAACATTCGCATTAACTAATCGACTTTCAGAAGCCTGGAAAACTTTATACTGTTCTATCTGGCTTGGAAGAACATACGGAAATAACACATTAAATTGGCGAACACACTTTGGCTCACTATTCCGGTTTACGAGTGGGCGAATTCAACGAGCTTGATCTATGCAAAATTCCAAATTAGTAGTTCAACCTTTCTCAAAACCACAGCAATCTCTTTCAATCTCTTTAGCGTATTATTCGATTTGCTGACTCGATCGACTCCGAGTCCATGGTCTGTTCTTTTTAGCTACGAAAGAAGAGTTAACCTATTACCCCGGATCTACAATAGAGTTTTAAGCCTTAAGCCATAAAAAATGGACGAATCATAGTCGATTATTCTCCTCGAATTCGACTGTAATTAGTCAATTTCTTACGACTTAAAGCTTAAAACACCTATTGTAGATCCGGACTTGGCGTTTCGACCCGGCCGGGTTTGCATCAATCTGGATTGGATTAATGGCGTTTTGTGCTCTCCTATTGGTAGAGAGTGTAACGTCAACCAATAGGAAAGATTAATTCCAGATTGGTGCAAACCCGATCGGGCCGAAAACGCTATATGCAAAATTTCAAAAAGGAAATGCAGCTAAAAAGAACAAACCATCAAAAATCGGTTCGAGTCAACCAAGAAGACTAGAACTAAGGAGGATCAACTCGCGTGGTGGGGGTGAGTCAAAAAACGTCCGCGGCTATTCACACGATGTGCAGCGGCACTGCGCATTGTGTGAAAGTCCGATATAAGAGCGACAAAGTGACGATTATAGAACGATAGAGCGACAACTATATAGAGCGACAGAGAGGACTAATGAAGCGCAAGAGTGGGGGAAGTTATCCGTCGCCACTTTTTGCCTCACCCCCACTACCGCTATTGGCACGAGTTGATCCTCCTTAGTTCTAGTCTTCTTGGTTCTAGTCTTCTTGGAGTCAACAAATCAAATACGCTACTACACAATGGCCCTACACAATGGACGCGGAAACGCTTACCATGCGGCAAAATGTGATGCAATAGCCAATAAGCTTACTCCTGAAGCTGATTTTTCATACGCACGCTGTGGCAGCAATTCATTACTATTGGTTAAAAATGTTACATGAGATAACACATTTCCGGCACAAAATACATTTTGCCGCATCTCATTGAAGTTAAACCGGACGAAGAACAAGCAGCAAGGAATTCGAAGCCGAGAAAGTCTGCAATAGTTGCAAAAAATGTGAAAATTGAGTACATTTACAATGAGTACATATAATGAATACATTTTTATTAAGATTTGAAGCGATGGGAGTATTTTAAATAATTACCTGGTTGTCCAAATTGTAATTGTACAGCATCTTTCATTGCAAATATATATTAAATACGTATCTATATATTGCATTTATATTGCGTTTCACTTCATATCAAATATAATGTATTAAATACGTAATTAACGCAATGGATATGAAATATCCAAGTCGAAATACGTACTTAATACATATATAACATGTAGCAGATATATTGTGCATATTTAAGTCGAAATACGTATACATATGTAATATGTAGCAGGTATTGTTATAATCAGTTAAAAATAAAGGAAAATAAGTCTGTTTGTATTTCGCGAGTTGTGTGACAGATGTGGATTCTTCTACCATTACGTATCCAGCTCACATTGAACAGATTTTCATTCAATAAGATTGTATTTAGCAAGAAGGAAAAAACGGAAAAGCGAAAAAGTTTCTTGCGCGTCGGGTAATTGTGCGCATGGGTTGGGTAATTGTGCGCAAAGCAAAAGTCGTAGGAAATGAATGAATTATGGAATGTTGACAAAGAAATCAGAAAATATATTTATTATATTGCAATATAAATATATATTAAATATATTTTAAATATATATTATATATATTAAGCAGAAATACAAAACTAATATAATAATAATACGTATAGACTTTGGCAAAATAAAATGGCAAAATAAAATAATAATGCAAAGAAAAAACGAAAAAAAATTAGTGCTAGTCATATAGTGTATGGAAGATGGGTAATTGTGCGCACTTCAAAATGCTTGCGCACAGTTGCCCGCCTCGACCTGACTCGATATGAAATACAATTAGTTCAATATTTCTTAACCAAACTTAATAAATAACAGACGCACATAATAACATACTTTAATAACGTATGCAACTTTAAACAAACAAATTAAAAATACGAACTTACCACCTTATTTTCTGAATGCTAAAATAACAAGAAAAGATGTGATTTCACTTTTCTGTATTTCTCTGGTTAGCAACGTATTTACGTCGTATCTTTTGTAGTTATATCTTAAGAGGACGATCTCCTGCATAAAAATTTCACCACAGTGATGTCTTCATCCATTGGAAAAGTATCAAACCAGGATGCGCACAATTACCCGCTGCGCATAGTTCTCCCACTTTCCCCTAATACATTTAAAACAAGTTAACTATATACAATAGGTTTAACACGTGTTTATAGCTAGGATATAATAAATAGTAAGCAAAAGTAAAAGAAATATTTATCTTTATTTTTAAAAATATATCTTATATTTTTATACGTGTACAATGCATGAACAATAAACTTAGAAGCATAAAAAAATAAACTTTTTAAACAAAGCATGTAAGGCCCGCAGATAGCAACGTGTCTGTCTTGTTGCTGGCATGTTGCTTGCTAAGTATGCATTGCTAAGTATGTGTTGCTACCAGAATTGCAACAACTGAGTCCTCATTTGTTGGCAACTTGATGCCTTCACGATATGATAACATTGAGTAGAAACTTACCAGCAATTTGCCGACAACATTAAAATCGTCATCATCAAAATTCGTACTATTGCCATCATGTTGCTATAATATGTAGCATCATAAAATGCTGTCATATTGCCGACAATACAAGATAACATTGGCTGCGTTCAGCAGAGAAAGCAACTTTGCAACTGTTGTAAAATTCTTCAATATGATTGGTTTATACGTTTAGATCTATAAGGAACCAAAAGCAAGAACGCAGCCATTGACGCAGCTATCTTGCTGTTAAACTGCTGGCAATACATATACGCATTGTTATCTGTATGTTGCTACAATGTCGGTATATTCGAAATCGTTGAAGACAAATCTACGTCAAGTTGCCAGCATCATAAACAATCACAGATTTGTGCGATTTTGCTGAGACACACTTTGCTATCTGGGAGGAATATAATTAAAAAATAGAACTCTACTATGCATATATTTTAATTGCATTTGATGTTTAGTTCGCATTAACATGCATAAAATTATATTATATATCAAATGGATATTAAACTTTGAAATACAAAAAAGGAAGATGAACTTTTAAATAAAGAAAATATAATTCGAATTACGAACAAGAAACCTTAGTTTAAAAATAATATAAAAATTATAATTTGAATTACAAACAAGAAATTTGGCTTAAAAATAATAAAACATTATATATCAAGGTTGTCGATCAACATTTGATTATTATACACATGATTCATTATCAACCGATTTTGCTTCTAGAGTATTGTTATATTCATGAATAAATTTTGCCACAACAGTAGAATAACTTTGTAAAGAAATAGATAATTATAAGAATTTTGTGGTTGATATATTTAAGAATATTTGCGTAACAACAAGTTGAATACTCTATTATGCACTTAAAAGGCATACAATAACTCTGCTTCGTCCGCTACAATATATGTTGCTGCAGTTTCTTCATCGACTATACATCACCACGCGTGGAGCTTCTTCTTTTTTAAATTTCTGTTAAACACATAACCTTTTTTAATAAATTTTCAATTACTTTATATTACATATACAATAGCGTCCATAAATATTTTGAAACTAATACTTTTGTTGCATTTAACAAAAAGTTAAGTATATTAATGAAAAAAAATCGTAAAAAGTTTTCGATCATGCATTTTGAGGTGCAAAAAGAGAACTTTAAATCTGCGTTTGATTCTTTTTCTATAACATTTTGTCCCTAAATTATGTTAAATTAAAAATTAATATTTTTTGTAATGTTTTTATTATTTGAACTGGTTTGATGAAACATCATCGGACAAAATTTTAATTATTTTAAAATAGGCTTAAAAAATGCTATTTGAAAAAAATTGATACGATGATTTTTCGCGAAAGTGTCGATTTTTTTTGTAGTGTAAAATATTATCTAAACATTTACTTTTCTAAAATGTTTTTTAAAATTAAAAGGCTAACTGAAAGAAGACAAAAGAGAAAAAATGTTTAATTGTGCCTATAACGATTAAAGCTGGATCTTAGATGTTTAAATAATTTCTACAAGACTATAATGTTGGCTGCTTTCCTTTTAGAAGACACAAATCGACACAGTTTAATACACTCGAACACAGTTTGCCACATTTAAATGGAACGCGATATGTGTAGTGTGCGTGCGAACTTTTATATATAATATCTCTAACCTTTTAAAAGATTTTAATCAAAGATAATCAAAAAAACAGAACAAAATGATAGAAACTGGTTTACGTATTCTGATATTGTTAAATTCGTCAAAATCGCACTTGACATACTCTGACTTTCCTCCCTAACAGAGACAAAGTGTGTCGATTAAGTTTGAACAAAATTGTAAATGGAAAGTGACGTGCGTCGATTTGTGTCAAGTGTGTCGACTGTATCACCTAAAAGGAAAGCAGTCATACTTACACATATGTAGTCATTTGAGCTGCGCACCAAATTAATTTTCCGGACTTAAAAACACAACTAAACTACTGTAGTAATATCATAAATTAAATTGATAAGCAATTTAATAATTTGATGCTCAATCCCTGCTGCAAATTCTTACAAGAAAAATTCTTGTGAGATCTTCCAAGAAAATTTTCACATACAAATTTCGGACAGGATCGTATACAAAATCGTATAAGAATATATCGCATACGATACCTGTGAATAAATCAAGAATCTTGCATGAATCTTACATCCTTGTTGCATGAATCTTACACGCATATGTTACATGAATCTTGCGCGCAGATTACGTGAATCTTGCGCTCATGTAACGTGAATCTTGCAAGAATATAATTGGAGTGTCATTATGAAAATATTACAAGAATATTATTGGAATTTGGTGTGATTTATTGCTCATATTCTAGTAAATAAAATGGAATGGAACAGGCAAGAAGTTGAATGGAATTTAAAAGAATTCATTTTGGTTAAAAATTAATTCTTTTTACACAAATTGAATAACGGCTTTTCAACTAAATCAAACTTAATTTAGGAAAGAGGTGCATAGAAAGTCTACGCTAGTTATTATAGCGAAATTACAATTTATCAATTCATTAAGACAGTGATAATATACGTTTACAATGATAATGTACGTTTCGACCTTTTATTCAGTAATCTTCAATATTCTAACAAATTTTTTAATTTTTCTTCATTCTTTTTCATTTCATATATTCAATCCACTTTCTGTTCATTCAATAATTCCAATTCGTTTACTGGGATGATCGATAACTTTATTACTTTGGAGCGATCATATAAAGAAAATATTCCTTAAGAGTATCTTATTAGGCTAAAGCAATTAAAATCTTTTCATTGCGATATAAATCGTCGTGTACGAATCATGCCAGATCCCAACTTGAAAGATGAATTATTTCGTAACTATATGCTTTTTAAAACTGACACATGATCTTTCATGTAACACTTAGGAATTATACATAATTAATACCATATTCTTAGATGATCCTGTAAAGAAATTATTTTTTAAGAGTTTCTTATAAGGTTAAGGCAAGATCTTTTCATTGTGATAGAAATCGTCGTGTACGATTCATTCCAGATTCCTAAGGTCATTAAAGATTACTGGTGAGATTCATGTATAAATTATATAAGATTCTTATATGATCATGTATGTTCATTTAATAATCTTGATTGATCACATACAACTCTTTTAAGATCTGGTACAAAAATTTTCAACAGGGATCCTATTAGTGATATGTTAATGTGCTGAAAATCTGTAAATTTTATTGCGAAAAATATTATCTCGGCTCGAACATGGATCTCTAGCATTCCGTGTGAGCGTCCTAAAATCACCGAAGCCTTAGTAATATTGTCCGTAATAACCGATATGTAGAAACATAACGCATTTTTCAGACAGCGTGTATAAACAATAATAAACAATTTATTAAAACCTTATAATGTAAACATACAATCCAGATAGCACAAAATACTAAAAGATAACGAAAAGAGATCTTTCTTAAGTTGCCTTTTTGAAAAAGCGAAAAAAATGTCTGAAAGATGACGAAAAGACATCGTTTTTAGATTGTCTTTTAAGCAAGACGAAAAGATGTCTATAAGACATCTTTTGTTGAAAAGATAACTCTAAAAAAGACATCTTTTCGTTATCTTTCTATGGTTGTCATTTTCGCAAAGCAAAAAGATATCAACTGAAAGATATCTTTTCGTAAAGATATCTTTTAAAGACATTACCGAAAAGACAACATGAAAAAGATATCTTTCCGTTATTTTGGAACTTTTTATCACTCACTCGCGAGCAGTACGTGGGATCACCAGACGGACATGGTGGAGTTCAGTTTCTTGTGTTTGAAAATTATACAAGATAGAATAAAAGGTGCGCAGTATTATGAGAAATTTTACTCGTGTTCTCTAATGAACACTAATAATATATTTTTTTGAAATCGAGTTCCCCAAAGGGGAGAATGAAAGATAGTGGCTCTTGCATATATAGGACACGGCAAACATTACAGGACTCAGAAATAGAATGTATATTGTTAGTCATACAATTTCATTTCGTTTTATGTAAAAATTAATTTAGGAATTCGATGTTATTAAACATTATATGTCGCAATGCGATCTGTCATCTTTTAGTCATCTTTTTGTTGACTATATTCTTTCACTAAAAGATATTTTTATAACAATTTAGTCATCTTTTAGACGAGTTTATGCTCTCTGGGAAGCTTCTGAAACAGCCTATTGGTACAAAATCGTGACAGAGATGAAAGTAATATGTAACGAAACGCTCTACGAACAGCCATATGGTGCAGTAACTTTATAACAAACATGTACGTTGTTCGTCACTCAATGCTTCATGTTTATTAAATGACATTAATGAGATTATACAATAGTGTCTGCCCATCAGTCACAATCTACAACACAATTCGCCATTCGCCAACCGACGCGATTAGTATTGATGAATTTGATAAGATGATATGTAAATGGCACATTATGTTCTATATTTTGATGTAATGAAAATTAATTGAAAAAAGTTTCTAAGCCTTTAAATTTTCTTTGGCTCATTTTGTATAAATTTCATACTTACATCTTGAGCCTTTGTATTCTCCGTTTTAATCTTTTTAAGTTTCTCCTCTATTATTTTGAGTTCATCCATTTCTTTTTGGATTTTACGGTTTATTTCATATTTAGCCAGTGCTTGTGCCAATGGTCCTAGCTCTCCTTTCATCGCAGCATTTATCGTCGCCTATTTATAAAAAAAAATTTTTTTTTATTAAATGTGTAATGGTTTAGTGTACAAATTATGCAAATTCTTACATCTCGTCGCCTTTTGGCATCGTTGGATGTACCTATCGGATCTGTGTCGGTCTGAGGTCCTAGTTCAATAAGAATTTGAAAATCCGCGTGTTCACCTAATCGAAAACCCACGCCGAATCTGGAATCGGTTCCTGTAGATTTCATAATAAACATTGATATAAGTTAACAAGGATTATGTAACAAGGTAAAGTTATATTATTAACTTATGATATACTTAACTTTTTTGATAGGTGATATATTGGAATATATTAAACTTAGAATCGTCGGAAGCTCTTCTGGTATAATTAGGCTTGTTACATCTGTGAATTTTATTTTTATATCAATTTTTAATCGTCAGATATAAATGAATTATATCGCCAACTATTTTGATTAATTAATCACATTATATGTATAAGCACATATACATAATCAGTAGAAAAATAGAAACTCACTTACACCTGTAGTTTCCACACAATATCATTATTCATATACAAAAGCTTTTCGAAGTTAAAGCAGAGCAAGTCATTCATATACAAAAATTTTTCGCAATTAAAGTAGAACAACTTACGATAACATCAAAATGACATTGAACGACATTAAGGATCTTACGATAACATCAAAATGACATTAAATGACATTAAGAATCTTGATTGATCAAAAAATGACTTTTAGGAAACATTTTAGAGCCATTTTAACATCATGATGATTTTGTTCTGTTTAAATATGTTTTTCAATTTATTGTATATAATAGATTTTAGAAACATTTCTGTTGAAACATTTCATATGACATATTGCAGGATACTTTCAGAATTGTTGCACATGAGATGTGAAAGATTGAAACATTTCTAAAAATTTTCTGCAACAATCGGTGCTGTATGAGTATAAACAAATTTATACAAAAAAATGCATTTTTCCAAATTTAATTCATTTGTGGCAGATTTTGACAATAAACATGCATTGCAAATCATTGTTTCCAATCTTTTTGAGATCGCTGAATTCAAATTCGCCATCAGATTTTTTAAAATTCAAAATGGCGGATCCAATATGGCGGCCAAAACTACAAAAAAGTGATTATTTTTGCAATTGGTCAATTGCTATTGCATTGAATCAGTCATTTTTAACACTATAAATTATTATTGTTAATATATTTGAGAACAATGAGTTTGAATTGGCCATTAAATTACTTGCATCAGAAAATCGTCAATCATCGTTAATCATCAAACGAAAAATTGTCAATTTACTGAATCGCCGTCTATGGTCCACCATCTTGGATTTGATTTTTTTTGTAATTCGACCCCAGATTCAGCGGCCTCGAAAACCTAAGAAACCACCTTCCTATAATGATTGCTACATCCCCTAAATTTCGTGACTGAAAGGGTTAAGATGCTAATACAGTTCTCGGATTGACTTATGACATCTTAAGACTGTACTTAAGACAGTTTTAAATACAAGAATCGACTATGAATATCGGCCTGTTTCGCGTTGTGAAATTGATACTGAATTTTTCCTTGTTTAACATACTTTATAATGTGTATCTTAGGTTTTCTTTCTATAGAAAGAGAAACATAAAGTATGTTAAACAAGGAAAGATTCAATACCAACTTTTTTTCTCAATAGTGCTATTTAGGAATATTGCATACGTGCTATTTAGGAATATTGCATACGAAACAAATGATATACTTACGGTCGTAGAAGACTAACAAAAGCAGCAACTGTGAAACCAGGGTCTTCACGATCATTTTAAAGAAGAAATCTCTGCGTGCACACCGATTATTCATATTCAAGTGCGTTTAATTTCAATAGCTGTTCTATATATAACTAAATATGACAAATAAAGATTAATTTTTAGGGCAATTAGGTATTATTTTTTAATTATCTAAGGTACTATTGAACTATTGTACTGTAAATTTTATTTTAATTTTTTCATACTGCTTATACAAATTTTATTACATTCGTAAATAATGTTAATCTTAAACTGAGAAAAATGTAATAAATAAGAACAGACTAAAATAAAAAAAATACTTTTTTATAAAATAATTTTTTATTTTATTATAATTAGAAAAATAAATATATGTATTTCTTTTTGAATAACAATATTTAAATGGCACTTTTATAGGCTAATATTATACTCTGACAGTTAAGCAGAATTTACTGAGCCAGAACTAATGTCAAGTCATAATAATAATTCTACGAATTAAAATAATATCCCGACATAATAATAATTCCAAATTTTTATTATATCTCCAACACAATCAATTTGATATTGAAATCGTGTCTAAATTAAAATGAAAACAATTTTTACGTCGACATAATTTTAATTCGTCGAATTATTATTATTATTATTATTGTATTGCAACATAATTTCAATTCAAGAAATATAAATTTGTGCTTTTTAATATTAGTCTCAGGAAACACCCGGGAAAAAATGTTTTATATATAATTAAAATATTTTTTCCCGGGCATTATTTTATGCTATAAAAAGTAAAAAATGGCTTGTCATTTATTCATTAATGATGTTAAAAACTTAAATTTTCCAAACTAAAATTATATCGCGACATTATAAACAAAACAAAAAAATATTCTGCGTTTTTGGAACATGAACCATATTCTAATACGGTCAAATATATTTTGAATTGTCAATCATCGATCATTAAACACTACATTCTTGAGTTCTTTGAATGTTTTATTCTGTTGAAGTGAAAGATCCTTTGGAGCGATCTTCATCTTCAACGCGTTCTGTGCCTTCTTTGAACATTTTATACCTCAAAAATTGTTCTTGTTCTTGACATACATTCATCATCGAAACACTTCCACAATGAAATTTCGTTCCGAAGACAAAAAATTTTATGCAAATTCTTTGCTCAGCAAAATTCGGCATGTTAAAAATTACCAGAAGTACTTTTTCTCAGTTAAGCGTTTATTTTTGGTAAATATCGACAATAAGGGACCCAGTTCGGATGACCTTGACCTTGACATATATTGTCAAGGTCATGATCCTGAGTGATCTTCAGATGGTTTTTCTTCAGTTGGTGCTCGTCCTTCATTTAAAAGTTATTACCAAAAAAGTTCCAAACAAAAGCGAGGTCTACCCCACAATTATACATATATAACATAAACGTTAAATGTATATAAGATATTCAAAAATAAGATATTAATACGTCAAAAATTAATTTATTGAATATAACTTACTCATGATTTCAAAAAATGCGTCTATACGTTTATCAAATGTGAAAAATAATGTCAACATTAGTACTCAACCTCCCTCATTAGTATTCTCATCCCCGCTCTCCCCTGAAAAGGGGCGCGCGACTCTTACCTTCGACTCTCATCCGCCCCTTCCTCTGTTTGGGAATCTTTTCCACGCAAATCAACTCTTCCCTCTGCATAAGGGGCACACGATTTCCATAAGTCCGGATCTACAATAGGTGTTTTAAGACTTAAGCCATAAGAAATTGACCAATTACAGTCGAATCCGAGAGGAATAATTGATTCATCCATATCTTATGGCTTAAGGCTTAAAATCCTATTGTAGATCCGGGGTAATTGAACAGTTGCATAACGTTGGAACACATGTGCAACTTGTGCACTTTTGTTTTTAAAGCGGGAAATCTATTTTAAAGTAGAGATTTTTTTGTTTTTAAAGCAGGAAATCTATTTTGAAGCAGAGATTTTTTGTTTTTAAAACAGGAAATTTATTTTAAAGCAGAGATTTTTGTTTTTAAAGCAGGAAATCTATTTTAAAGCAGAGATTTTTTTGTTTTTAAAGCAGAAAATCTATTTTATAAAACAAAGAATTCTCGTGTTATATAATAGAACCATTTTTTATTAATAACTTTTTAACGAAGGACGAGCACCAACTAAAATCATTTGAAGGTCACACAGGATCATGACCTTGATAACATATGTCAAGGTCAAGCTCATCCGAGTTGAGTCCTCTATTGTTGATATTTATCGATACCAGATAGTTTGCGGGTAAACAGAATTTGTTTACTATTTTTAATTCAGACCATGGAACTTTATAAACTTCGTTCAAAATTTTCAGATTTGACCGATTTCTATTTGTATCCGTATAGCTCCATAAAATATCAGCCAAATCGAAATCTCAATTACCATTCGCGAAAGTAGAAATTTCAAGCTGTAAAATACATTTTTAAACATCTCGATGCGATGATTTTTGACGAAGTTATACTGTCTTAAAATTTGCCTATTTTGGGGGGGGGGGGATAAAATAGGTAATGTTTTAATTTTACTGTTGAGTATACATATATGTCTCAAAAACACAAAGCTACCAATTTACGCATAATTATATGTGAAAAAATATGAAAAAAAACTGCAAAAAGACAGATATATGTACTCGTGTGTATATATATACAGGGTGTTTCCAAATTAAATCGCAAAACTTCGGGAGCGTGTAGAGGAGTAAAAAACTAAGAAAAAAAGTCCTATAGACATATGCTCGTTTTTGCTCCGTTTCAGAGAAATCGAAAAAAAATGTTTTTTTTACCTGCAAGATTAAATGGGGACCGTTTTCTAAATTTCTTGGAGAATGAATTTTCTGACTATTTAGAAAACATCCCATTACAACAACGTACTGAAATGTGGTTTCAATTAGATGGATGCCCTGCTCATTACAGCAGAGTCGCTAGAACCTGGTTAGATAGAAAATTCCCACAACGATGGATTGGACGTGGAGGAGCAGTACATTGGGCAACTCGTTCGCCCGACTTAACGCCATTAGATTTCTATGCATGGGGTACTCTGAAGCAAGAAGTTTATTCTTCGCCTATTCAATCAGAGCAACATTTGAGAAATCGTATCGTAGCTGCAGCGAACAGAATATCGCAAGAACAGTGCCTGGCTGCTACAAGAGCCGTGTTTGACAGATGCAATGCTTGTATTGCTGCAAGAGGTGCACATTTCGAACAAAATCTTCATTAAAAAGTTTATAAATAAAATAATTAAAATAATAAATTAAATATATTTTTTTCTTTTTTCGTGATTTCCTGCGAAACAAAGCAAAAAGGAGCATATGTCTATAGGACTTTTTTTCTTAGTTTTTTACTCCTCTACACGCTCCCGAAGTTTTGCCATTTAATTTGGAAACACCCTGTA